GGAGTGTAAAATGGTGATGATAGAGAATATGTAATATGGTGATGGGAGGTGGAGAGAGAGTGTAATATGGTGATGGGAGGTGGGGAGAGAGTTTGGGAGAGAGTGTTATATGGTGATGGGTGGTGGAGAGAGAGAGTGTAATATGGTGATGGGAGGTTGAGAGAGAGAAAAAACGTGATCACACCAGTCAAAGTGGTGAATAAGGGTGATGGGAGGTGGGGAGAGAGTAATATGGTGAGGTGGAGAGAGAGTGTAATATGGTGATGGGAGGGGGAGAGAGGGAGAGAGTGTAATATGGAGAGAGTGATTGTGAAGGGAGGTGGGGAGAGAGTGTTATATGGTGATGAGAGAGAATATGTAATATGGTGATAGGAGGTTGGGAGAGAGTGTAATATGGTGATGGGAGGTGGAGAGAAAGTGTAATATGGTGATGGGAGGTGGGGAGAGAGAGTGTAATATGGTGATGGGAGGTTGGGAGAGAGTGTAATATGTGTGATGGGAGTGAGAGAGAGTGTAATATGGTGATGGGAAGGGAGAGTGTGTTATGGAGAAAGTGTTATATGGTGAGAGAGAGAGTGTAATATGGTGAGATGGGAGGTGGAGAGAGAGAGTGTAATATGGTGATGGGAGGTGGGAGAGAGAGTGTAATATGGTGATGGGAGGTGGAGAGAGTGTAATATGGTGATGGGAGAGAGTGTGTAATATGGTGAGAGAGTGTAATATGGTGATGGGAGGTGCAGAGAGTGTGTTATATGGTGATGGGAGGTGGAGAGAGAGAGAGTGTAATATGGTGATGGGTGGTTGGGAGAGAGTGCAATATGGTGATGGGAGGTTGGGAGAGAGTGTAATATGGTGATGGGAGGTGGGAGAGAGAGTGTGTATATGGTGATGGGAGAGAGAGTGTAATATGGTGATGGGAGGTAGGGAGAGAGTGTAATATGGTGATGAGGAGGTTATATGGTGGAGAGAGTGTAATATGTGTGATGGGAGGTGGAGAGAGAGTGTAATAGGTGTGATGAGAGAGTGTAATATGGTGATGGGAGGTTGGGAGAGAGTGTAATATGGTGATGGGAGGTGGGGAGAGAGAGTGTAATATGGTGATGGGAGGTTGGGAGAGAGTGAAATATGGTGATGGGAGGTTGAGAGAGAGTGTTATATGGTGATGGGATGGTGTAATATGGTGAGGGAGGTGGGGAGTGTTATATGGTGATGAGAGAGTGTAATATGTGTGAGGTGGGGAGAGAGTGCAATAGATGGGAGTGGGGAGAGAGTGTTATATGGTGATGAGAGCGCATATGTAATATGTTTATGGGAGGTGGTGAGAGAGTGTGTAATATGGTGATGGGAGGTTGGGAGAGAGTGTAATATGGTGATGGGAGGTTGGGAGAGAGTGTGTAATATGGTGATGGGAGGTGGAGAGAGAGTGTAATATGGTGATTGGAGGTTTAGAGAGTGTACTATGATGAAGGGAGGTGGGGAGAGAGTGTTATATCGTGATGAGAGAGAATATGTAATATGGTGATGGGAGGTGGGGAGAGTGTGTAATATGGTGATGGGAGGTGGGGAGAGAGTGTAATATGGTGAGAGAGAGAGTGTAATATGGTGAGGTGGGGAGAGAGAGATGGGAGGAGAGAGTGTAATATGGTGATGAGGAGGTGGATGGGAGGTGGAGAGAGAGAGAGTGTGGGGAGAGAATATGGTGATGGGAGAGAGAGATGTAATATGGTGATGGGAGGTGGGGAGAGAATAGAGAGAGTGTAATATGGTGGTGGGAGGTGAAGAGAGTGTGTTATATGGTGATGGGAGGTGGAGAGAGAGTGTAATATGGTGAAGGGAGGTGGGGAGAGAGTGTTATATGGTGATTTGAGAGATTATGTAATATGGTGATGGGAGGTGGGGAGAGAGTGCAATATGGTGATGGGAGGTGGGGAGAGAGTGTAATATGGTGATGGGAGGTGGGGAGAGAGAGTGTAATATGGTGATGGGAGGTGGGGAGAGAGAGTGTAATATGGTGTTGAGAGAGAATATGTAATATTGTGATAGGAGATGGGGAGAGAGTTTAATATGGTGATGGGAGGTTGGGAGAGAGAGTGTAATATGGTGATGGGAGGTGTAATATGGTGATGGGAGGTGGGGAGATTGTGTAATATGGTGATTGGAGGTTGTGAGAGTGTGTAATATGGTGAACGGAGGTTGAGAGAGTGTAATATGGTGATGAGAGAGAATATGTAATATGGTGAAGGGAGGTGGGGAGAGTGTGTTATATGGTGATGAGAGAGAATATGTAATATGGTGATCGGAGGTGGGGAGAGTGTGTTATATGGTGATGGGAGAGTGCAATATGGTAATGGGAGGTGGGTAGAGAGTCCAATATGATGATGGGAGGTTGAGAGAGTGTGATATGGTGATGGGAGGTGGAGAAAAGTGTAATATGGTGATGGGAGGTGGGGAGAGTGTGTAATATTGTGATTGGATGTTGAGAGAGTGTAATATGGTGAAGGGAGGTGGGGAGAGAGTGTTATATGGTGATGGGAGGTGGGGAGAGTGTGTAATATGGTGATGGGAGGTGGGGAGAGAGTGTAATATGGAGATAGGGAGAGAGTTTAATATGGTGATGGGAGGTGGGGAGAGAGTGTTATATGGTGATTTGAGAGATTATGTAATATGGTGATGGGAGGTGGGGAGAGAGTGCAATATGGTGATTGGAGGTGGGGAGAGAGTGCAATATGATGATGGGATGTGGGAAGAGAGTGTAATATGGTGATGGGAGATGGAGAGAGTGTTATATGGTGATGGGAGGTGGAGAGAGAATGTAATACGGTGATGGGAGGTGGGGAGAGAGTGCAATATGGTGATGGGAGATGGAGAGAGTGTGTTATATGGTGATGGGAGGTGTGGAGAGAGTGTTATATGGTGATGAGAGAGAATATGTAATATGGTGAAGGTTGGTGGGGAGAGATTGTTATATGGTGATGAGAGAGAATATGTAATATGGTGATAGGAGGTTGGGAGAGAGTGTAATATGGAGATAGGGAGAGATTTGAATATGGTGATGGGAGGTGGGGAGAGAGTGTTATATGGTGATGGGAGGTGGAGAGAGAGTGTAATATGGTGAAGGGAGGTGGGGAGAAAGTGTTATATGGTGATGAGAGAGAATATGTAATATGGTGATGGGAGGTGGGGAGAGAGTGCAATATGGTGATGGGAGGTGGGGAGAGAGTGTTATATGGTGATGAGAGAGAATATGTAATATGGTGATAGGAGGTTGGTAGAGAGTGTAATATGGTGATGGGAGGTGGAGAGAGAGAGAGTGTAATATGGTGATGGGAGGTTGGGAGAGAGTGCAATATGGTGATGGGAGGTTGGGAGAGAGTGTAATATGGTGATGGGAGGTGGAGAGAGAGAGTGTTATATGGTGTTGGGAGGTTGGGAGAGAGTGTAATATGGTGATGGGAGGTGGAGAGAGAGAGTGTAATATGGTGATGGGAGGTTGGGAGAGAGTGTAATATGGTGATGGGAGGTTGGGAGAGAGAGTGTAATATGGTGATGGGAGGTGGCGAGAGAGTGCAATATGGTGATGGGAGGTTGAGAGAGTGTGTTATATGGTGATGGGAGATTTAGAGAGAGTGTAATATGGTGATGGGAGGTGAAGAGAGTGTGTTATATGGTGATGGGAGGTGGAGAGAGAGTGTAATATGGTGAAGGGAGGTGGGGAGAGAGTGTAATATGGTGAAGGGAGGTGGGGAGAGTGTGTTATATGGTGATGGGAGAGATTATGTAATATGGTGATGGAGGTGGGGAGAGAGTGCAATATGGTGATTGGAGGTGGGGAGAGAGTGCAATATGGTGATGTGATGTGGGGAGAGAGTGTTATATGGTGATGGGAGGTTGAGAGAGTGTGTAATATGATGATGGGATGTGGGAAGAGAGTGTAATATGGTGATGGGAGATGGAGAGAGTGTTATATGGTGATGGGAGGTGGAGAGAGAATGTAATATGGTAATGGGAGGTGGGGAGAGAGTTTAATATGGTGATGGGAGGTAGAGAGAAAGTGTAATATGGTGATGGGAGGTGGGGAGAGAGTTTAATATGGTGAAGGGAGGTGGGGAGAGAGTGTTATATGGTGATGAGAGAGAATATGTAATACGGTGATGGGAGGTGGGGAGAGAGTGCAATATGGTGATGGGAGATGGAGAGAGTGTGTTATATGGTGATGGGAGGTGTGGAGAGAGTTTAATATGGTGATGGGAGGTGGGGAGAGAGTGTTATATGGTGATGGGAGATGTGGAGAGAGTGTAATATGGTGATTGGAGATTGAGAGAGAGGTTTATATGGTGATTGGAGGTTGGGAGAGAAAGGTGTTTATATGTCGCAGTTGATTCGATAACCAAAGGCCCGTTCCCATTATCACGATTTCTGTGTACGAAGTCGTCAACTGGCCGACAAACTCTTAACAATAGGTTTTAAAAGAGTGCAAATCTTTCTTTTGTTCATATTTTGTATTTTGACCAGCTTTATGGAATTTGATTTTGGAGAATGATAACGTTGACATGCTGGCATTTTTGTTTCTTGTGGCAAGAGGATGGACATGACAAAACATAGAGGTGGCCATATACAAGCATATTGTGGGTTTAGTGACAAAAGAATACTAAAGAACCGTGTGAAATGACCGACAACATGCAGACTTCAATTGCTGCCAACACGAATGTTCTTTCTTAAAGGAAGAAGAAACAGTTGTCTGATTTTTTTTTTCTATATGATTGTATTAATAAAGATTTCGCTAGGTTTGGCGTCGTGTCTTACGTGAATGTCGTGGGTTCGATTCCCACAGGTTAATGGTTTTCTATCGACTTAACACGCGTGTTAGGATCGCATTTATCATTGTAATAATACACATCCTTACAATGGGTTGCATCAGTTCTAATGTTTACACGCAAAATGACATCTTTAAACAAGCATGTTTTGATATCATAACGCGTTCGTACCTTGACAACCCTAGCTTAATCGCTTGACCACTTAACCACCTGACATCGCCTGACTTGACCGCCCTTATCCTGATCACTTGACCACCCTGTATTGACCGCTAGACCACCTGATAAGTCTATCTTGACCTATGAAACATGAACATAAAATCATGATCATAAAAGGCTAGAAACACACCCCTATGGGTTCTAACACATCACAAAGACTTTGTCTTTAACATCACTGTCAGGTACATGTTTAATTATGATGTCTTTAATTAACAAGAAATTAACTTAATTTTTCCATCATATATACCCATCAGAATTAGAAATCAAGGACACGACAGACAAATCTCCATCTGTCAGCTTTTACTTCACCGAGCAAGCCGTATGGTTAGATATGGATAGCAACACTCCTGCATCCCCAAACTATAATGTTGTATGTTACAATTGATTCCGAGATTTTGATATCTGCTCACGATTTTTGTGCAAGATGTCGGAAACTGACAGGCAAACTCACAACACAGAGTTTCGAGATATGAAGGTTCATGAAAATCGTGGGGAGGTTTTTACGTCTACGTTTCTTACTTCGATTGTCTAAGATTGACATGGCGGGTGTCTTCGATTGTCCAAGATTGACATAGTGGGTGTCTCCGATTGTCCAAAATTGACATGACGGGTGTCTTCGATTGTCCAAGATTGACATGGCGGGTGTCTTCGATTGTCCAAGATTGACATGGCGGGTGTCTTCGATTGTCCAAGATTGACATGGCGGGTGTCTTCGATTGTCCAAGATTGACATGGCGGGTGTCTTCGATTGTCCAAGATTGACATAGCGGGTGTCTCCGATTGTCCAAAATTGACATGACGGGTGTCTTCGATTGTCTAAGATTGACATGGCGGGTGTCTTCGATTGTCCAAGATTGACATAGTGGGTGTCTCCGATTGTCCAAAATTGACATGACGGGTGTCTTCGATTGTCCAAGATTGACATGGCGGGTGTCTTCGATTGTCCAAGATTGACATGGCGGGTGTCTTCGATTGTCCAAGATTGACATGGCGGGTGTCTTCGATTGTCCAAGATTGACATGGCGGGTGTCTTCGATTGTCCAAGATTGACATAGCGGGTGTCTCCGATTGTCCAAAATTGACATGACGGGTGTCTTCGATTGTCTAAGATTGACATGGCGGGTGTCTTCGATTGTCCAAGATTGACATAGTGGGTGTCTCCGATTGTCCAAAATTGACATGACGGGTGTCTTCGATTGTCCAAGATTGACATGGCGGGTGTCTTCGATTGTCCAAGATTGACATGACGGGTGTCTTCGATTGTCCAAGATTGGCATGGCGGGTGTCTTCGATTAACCAAGATTGACATGACGAGTGTCTTCGATTGTCCATGATTGACATGGCGGGTGTCTTCGATTGTCCAAGATTGACATGGCGGGTGTCTTCGATTGTCCAAGATTGACATGGCGGGTGTCTTCGATTGTCCAAGATTGACATAGCGGGTGTCTCCGATTGTCCAAAATTGACATGACGGGTGTCTTCGATTGTCCAAGATTGACATGGCGGGTGTCTTCGATTGTCCAAGATTGACATGACGGGTGTCTTCGATTGTCCAAGATTGACATGGCGGGTGTCTTCGATTGTCCAAGATTGACATGGCGGGTGTCTTCGATTGTCCAAGATTGACATGGCGGGTGTCTTCGATTGTCCAAGATTGACATGGCGGGTGTCTTCGATTGTCCAAGATTGACATGGCGGGTGTCTTCGATTGTCCAAGATTGACATAGCGGGTGTCTTCGATTGTCCAAGATTGACATAGCGGGTGTCTCCGATGAAGCAGAAGACTCGTACCCTTTCAGCGCACCTGGACCGGGGATCATGAGACAATCTTAGGAGTAAGGTTTTGCTTGGCATGGCGCCTCTTTGCATGATTTTATTTGTGATTATTCCTTTGAGTTAGATTAGCAATCGTTTGTCATATATAAGTATATCGTATTCATACAAAAAGACAAACACCGCAGTGGGATTTTACATAGTATATATACATATATATATTGGTCGTCCTGAAAACCAGACACCATTGACGTCATCGGGGTTGTCTTTTTTCAAGTTTGGTAAACCATCTTGGGATCAACAATTATCAATATGTACATGCCATCATGTTCTTATTTCATGCTAGAAATTCGTATAACGTTTTGGTTATTTCCCCTATAAAATGCATTTTTCTTAAAATGTAAAAAAAATTCAAATATACATTTTAGTAAATTGTATCCAATCACAGTTCGATTAAGCACATAAAGACACTTTATACATTAAGAGCAATACATGTTTGATTTTGAGAAAACACTTTTAATTCCAGTCAATTTGACCTCTTTTGGTCCTATTCCTTAGGGCCCGCGGAGATGAGGAGGAAGGGGGAGGGGGTTTGGCACCGTCCAAATTAAACTGTTGATCATCAGGAGCTGGTGCAAAACTTCATGAAAAGTGGATCAGATGTTTTAAGATGTCGATATTGTCATATGATAGTCATAGTTAGGTCACTGGAGACCTCGTTTAAGATTATCTAAAAAGTGACCTGTTTTATTGAATACATTAATTTGACTTTCATTATGCCCTGATCTGTACCACATTTAAATTCTTGAAACTAATGAGGTCATGGAGTCTTTTTTAAAACCTGATAAATGTATGGTAAGGAGATATCAAGGCTTACTTTTACTTTTATCAATTATCGCTGAAGATGTAATCTATTAGAGTTTGAAAGAATTCCATAGAATGATCATTATATGATAAATAATACCTTCAAGACGTTTATCATAAGGATATATTCTCGATAGCTTGTTGGTAAACATCAGTTCTTACCGTTTATCATAAGGATATATTCTCGATTGCTTGTTGGTAAACATCAGTTCTTACCGTTTATCATAAGGATATATTCTCGACTGTTTGCCGGTAAACATCAATTCTTACCGTTTATCATAAGGATATATTCCCGATTGCTTGCCGGTAAACATCAGTTCTTACCGTTTATCATAAGAATATATTCTCGATTGTTTGCATGTAAACATCAGTTCTTACCGTTTATCATAAAGATATATTCTCGATTGCTTGCCGGTAAACATCAGTTCTTACCGTTTATCATAAGGATATATTCTCGATTGCTTGCCGGTAAACATCAGTTCTTACCGTTTATCATAAGGATATATTCTCGATTGCTTGCCGGTAAACATCAGTTCTTACCGTTTATCATAAGGATATATTCTCGATTGTTTGTTGGTAAACATCAGTTCTTACCGTTTATCATAAGGATATATTCTCGATTGCTTGTTGGTAAACATCAGTTCTTACCGTTTATCATAAGGATATATTCTCGATTGCTTGTTGGTAAACATCAGTTCTTACCGTTTATCATAAGGATATATTCCCGATTGCTTGCCGGTAAACATCAGTTCTTACCATTTATCATAAGGATATATTCTCGATTGCTTGCCGGTAAACATCAGTTCTTACCGTTTATCATAAGGATATATTCTCGATTGCTTGCCGGTAAACATCAGTTCTTACCGTTTATCATAAGGATATATTCTCGATTGTTTGTTGGTAAACATCAGTTCTTACCATTTATCATAAGGATATATTCTCGATTGTTTGTTGGTAAACATCAGTTCTTACCATTTATCATAAGGATATATTCTCGATTGCTTGCCGGTAAACATCAGTTCTTACCATTTATCATAAGGATATATTCTCGATTGCTTGTTGGTAAACATCAGTTCTTACCGTTTATCATAAGGATATATTCTCGATTGCTTGCCGGTAAACATCAGTTCTTACCGTTTATCATAAGGATATATTCTCGATTGCTTGCCGGTAAACATCAGTTCTTACCGTTTATCATAAGGATATATTCTCGATTGCTTGCCGGTAAACATCAGTTCTTACCGTTTATCATAAGGATATATTCTCGATTGCTTGTTGGTAAACATCAGTTCTTACCGTTTATCATAAGGATATATTCTCGATTGCTTGCCGGTAAACATCAGTTCTTACCGTTTATCATAAGGATATATTCTCGATTGCTTGCCGGTAAACATCAGTTCTTACCGTTTATCATAAGGATATATTCTCGATTGCTTGCCGGTAAACATCAGTTCTTACCGTTTATCATAAGGATATATTCTCGATTGCTTGCCGGTAAACATCAGTTCTTACCGTTTATCATAAGGATATATATTCTTGCCGGTAAACATCAGTTCTTGTTTATCATAAGGTAAACATCAGTTCTTACCGTTTATCATAAGGATATATTCGTTTATCGATTGCTTGCCGGTAAACATCAGTTCTTACCGTTTATCATAAGGATATATTCCCGATTGCTTGCCGGTAAACATCAGTTCTTACCGTTTATCATAAGGATATATTCTCGATAGCTTGCCGGTAAACATCACGTCTAACCGTTTATCATAAGGATATATCATTGCTTGCCGGTAAACATCAGTTCTTACCGTTTATCATAAGGATATATTCTCGATTGCTTGCCGGTAAACATCAGTTCTTACCGTTTATCATAAGGATATATTCTCGATTGCTTGCCGGTAAACATCAGTTCTTACCGTTTATCATAAGGATATATTCTCGATTGCTTGCCGGTAAACATCAGTTCTTACCGTTTATCATAAGGATATATTCCCGATTGCTTGCCGGTAAACATCAGTTCTTACCGTTTATCATAAGGATATATTCTCGATTGCTTGCCGGTAAACATCAGTTCTTACCGTTTATCATAAGGATATATTCTCGATTGCTTGCCGGTAAACATCAGTTCTTACCGTTTATCATAAGGATATATTCTCGATTGCTTGCCGGTAAACATCAGTTCTTACCGTTTATCTTGCCGTTTATCATAAGGATATATTCTCGATTGCTTGCCGGTAAACATCAGTTCTTACCGTTTATCATAAGGATATATTCTCGATTGCTTGCCGGTAAACATCAGTTCTTACCGTTTATCATAAGGATATATTCCCGATTGCTTGCCGGTAAACATCAGTTCTTACCGTTTATCATAAGGATATATTCCCGATTGCTTGCCGGTAAACACCAGTTCTTGCCGTGCTGACAGTTTAAGTAGTGTGACGGAAGTTTGTGATTATGTTTTAATTTTTACACAGAGATGGATATGAAGAAAGAACTACTTATAGGCCTGAAATCGACACCTAAATACATACCTGGATGGTATCGCTATGACAAGGAAGGATCGAGACTGAATGACATTTGCCTTGAGAAAAACCAAAACTACTACTTCAACAGGTGTGAGCTGAGTGTTTTGGAAACCCATATTTCGGTAAGGAAATCGTTATTGACTACGAAGCTGAGAGCTACGTGTACAAAGTATGACAATGTTTTTACTTCTAATGATTGTAATAAGAGTCGGATTTGTTTATTTTATTTTATTATCGTTATTTTTGTTATTTGCGTGCATATCTCTATCCTCATTTTCTATGTACCTATGGCTATTACAGATTCTAACAATTTTCCCGGTTTTACAGAATATGGTGACAGTTAACGCAGAGAACACCGCTTTAATCGATATGGGGAGCGGAAACTGCCAGAAAACAAGAATATTTATTAACGAAATTTTGAGAAGTAAAAATAAGATCAGTTTCTATCCCATTGACATCTCAAAAGGTATGTACAGTGGCATTGATGCATAACGTTTTGTTATGCTTTGTGTTTTGTTTCGATGTCAAATAGGATGTTTGTCACAAAACCGTAGAAGACTTCTTATCTAGTACCACACAGAGTATTGGAATATATCATTGTGACCATTTAACTTCCGCGTAAAAACGCGAGAACTAATTATACTAGTTACCGATTTAATGGTTGATTAACATAACGAACATTTGTCATTCGAGAGAACGAAACAGAGGGAAACATACTAGGCCGAGAGAAGCATTGAAATAACAGATGGGTAGATGTACGTACTCCATACATGTACAAACATGCAACATCGTCAAAGAGACGTCACTATGAATGTCACGTGAGTGCACGTGTGTTTTGGAATCTGCGATGTGTGTCTGTATCTTTGTGATAATGCGGAACTGAATCTGACTTTACAGTTCTATCACACCGAAATACGCTGATTAAGGTCCCCGGAATTACAACGGGCAAACTAGTCAGTATATCACTATAGTTACAGTGCGTAAAGCTGGGAATAGTTTCTCTACTTATACTAAACGTGAGGAGACTTCAAGGGGAACATATATACCTACATGTATATGTATACCTATATACCATCACTACCCAAATAGTCATCCTGTCTCAGAAAATTGGAAGTCACTTCTTGTCTGTTTCAAGATGAATTTTACCAAGACGCATTAAAAATCAAATATCAGTTATTTGGATCGCAATAAAGCAAATGGTTCGCATCAAATCCCAATAACGGCCAGTTAATTAATGTGTTTAGCTGTGAGGTTTTTACCTGAACTGTATAGAGAGATTTGACTGTTTAACACAACTAAAGCAGTCTGATCACGTAAAACTTTGTACATTTTTTTTTAATTTTCGTGGAAGCCGTACTCTCCTCTCCCTTTTACACCAAGACGGGTTGGAGAGTCACTGCCAATAGTGTGAGACAATAAGTAGCCGGTGAAGTTATCAGTCGAATCACATCATGCTGGTGATTTCAAAATTACTAGATTGATAATTAAGTTTGATGCGACTGTTTATTCCAGCCATGTTTACATTCAATTTTCAAATCTGCTTCAGATGCCTTGTTAGAGACGTGCAAGCAGCTTTCTGAAGACTATGAGGAAAGATTAGACATCAACCCTATTGATGCAGATTACGAGACAGGAATTACTAAACTTAAGTAGGCATCTTGTTCATATCTTCTCCGACAAAATATTCATAACGAGACAGGCATCACTAAACTTGTGTAGGCATGTTGTTCATATCTTCTCCGACAAAATATTCATTACGAGACAGGCATCACTGAACTGAAGTAGTCTTTTTTCGCTTTTTGACAATAAGTTAATTACGAGCAGATAAAGCCATGGATATTCATGAAATCTTAAATCTTGGTATGTAACCAATGATGATACGATGTTATGCTGATCTGCCTTGAATTTTGGCTTCTTATTCAACAAACGGTTTCGATTCAGAAACACATTTTGTCTACTTATACGGTATGCGCCATACACGTATAATTTATTTTTTTCAATTTCAGAGGAAAATAACTGTAAAATCTAATCTCTCTTCCAGTAACTGTCCGCACTCGAAGTTAATTCTTTGGTTTGGAAGTATACAGAATCTTCAGCCTGATGATCAAATACGAAAACTGCAGTTGCTAAGATCGGTGATGAAAGGTTCGTATTTCTTGAAAACAAAAGGTTTCTTTATCCTGTATCTGGCGCTACCATTGTCGGAATAAACCTGTCACGTGTATTTTTGCTGTATTCGGCAGTGACGGAAAACAGCTGTATTTCAGCACGCGCATTAATAATCGTTATATCTGGTGAAATGCGGAAACATATTTCCGCGTGGAGCAATTATTATGACGTCGTCTGTCATAGTTAAGCATAACGTTGTTTCCAGGTGAACATTACATGGAAAACAAATTGTTGAAAATTCGATAGTCTGAATTTCTAAAATAAATATTGCAGGATAAGAAGAGGATTGTGGTAGATAGAGTTTGTAACACTTCCCATTCAGATTTGGTAGGATTTACCACATCACATGAAGTCATCTTTTTCCGTGGCAGCAGTTTGAACCAACAGTACTTTTCGTAATTTCTCCGTTTTCTGAATTATTTACAACTTGGGTAGCTTAAAAACCTATCTCTCTGATGTTTGACCGGAAGTAAGATACAATTCAATGTAAGATAGAGTTCAACATAATATCGTATACCTATGTGTTGTTATATGATACACTACCTATATCTGTACTTATATATTTACGTGTTACACATACTCTTACACCTACATCAATAATAGTAGCGCTGGAATATATTGTTTTTTGGGTTTTTTTTTTTTTTTTTTTTGGTTGATTTTTTTTTCTGCTCTTTTTGGCTGTTGAAGTCAAACCTTTCAAAAATCATCATAAAAAATTACTTTTCTGAGCATTAAAATCATATTAAACTTGAGACGGGTTCGATGTTAATATGTATCGATATTTCATGAAGGGATTTTCCTATCTCTATCACATCATACCGCATCTTATCAACGAAGAATGCAGAAGTACTTCATATGGTCAAAAACATTGGTAGTAGTTTAACGCACGCGACATTCTATTGACGTAGATATAACGATGTATCCTATGTGGTAGGTCTAAATCACACTAACTCTCGTCCGCTAAAAACCGTAACAGCGTAATATCAAAAGAAGGAAACATTTTTAAGTCACTAAACCTGACATAATTCACACTCCAAGGGAAACAACTCGAGCTGAAGTAGAACGTTTCTAACAAAATATTGCTGATAGAGTAAAGTAAGGTCATTCTGTTTGGACTAACGGAATCTGTTGTATCGTGTTCGCTTTATCCATCCTTATAATTTGTAATGCCCATATTTTGTATATCTAATGTGTTTTTGTCACTTATCCTTAGAGACACCCGAAAAGAGAGAACCGAAATTAATATACATGTATAGCTACAGTACATATACTTCCGCTTCATGTCTGTCCCAGGAACAATATACATAAAACATAAGTCAAAATACGGCACCAGGGATTTAACAAAGGATTGTTGCAAAAATAACGAAGAATATCTGCAATTCAGGATAAAATAAGAATGAAAATGAATTGTTTCCTGTTACACGTAATCTGACACCTGTATCAGAAAAGTAAGCAATATTTTGACTTTTTGCTGCTAAATTACACAGGATTTCTTTTACTTCTTAGAAGTGTGCCTCCGTAAACTTGGTTTGAAATGCGTAATGTTCATATCGAACGTTTAATCTCGCCAACATAAAAGTATTGTATCTCATGTAGGCCACAAGTGAATACAGGTCTACCAGATACGTTGATGTTGGGACTGGGCTATAATAAAATCTATTCATGTTTGAGATAAGCGTAAACTTGTTACTTAAACAGCATGTATAGAAAACGTGATTAAACATGATAGTGGCATCAAATAGAGTCTTCAACAACCTGTTGTAAAATTATCTTTCGTCTTTAGTTTTTGCTTAAATTAATGCCCAAGGCACACTTTCGTGATTATCGATGTTTAATGTATTATGACATTTAAATATTTTTTTGGCCTTTAACCTACTGGTGTGATGGATTCCCAAACTTCTTTGAACGGATGGCCTACTTGTTTCATTCACATGTGTCAAACGTGTTTAAAATGTTTGATTAACTTTGTATAATCACCATAGGTCTGGGTGTTGGAACGTTGCTATCCAGAAATGGGAAATTCATAAAGAGGAATTGAAATCATCACGTTTATTATACAGCTTGCTGGGAAAGCAAACGGTAGTGTGAAATGATGAATATGAGTGTATATAATGTGGGAGAAAAGTCATACCATCATTTTGGTATTCATAAAATGATACATTGTTACATAAAAAGATACATTGTTACACACAAAGGTACATTGTTGCATGCAATGATACATTGTTACATACAACGGTACATTGTTACATACACATATACATTGTTACATACAAAGATAAATTGTTACATACAAAGATAAATTGTTACATACAAAGATACATTGTTACATACAAAGATACATTGTTATCTAAAAAGATACATTGTTACATACAAAGATACATTGTTACATACAAAGATACATTGTTACACTGACAACGTTCCAACGACGTCACGACCAAGATAGTTATGAATGGGTGGACTCATAGTCACATATGGGATCTTATTTTTTGTCGTTATAACATGATATACAGTGTTTTAAATCTACACTACTTTTGCATTGATAAATATATATATCACAAGATTAATGACAGCGTTAACTATGTTTTACAACATCTGTATCAACATGTAAAACTACAGATAAATCGAGTAATATTACATTTTCTTGTTTTATAAACGATCGTGTTGGAGACGTCCGTTTGACTTTACACAGCTGTTGCTTACTTTACTCAAGGGACAAAGACAAACCGTTTATACAAAATTGATTCCTTTGCAGCCTAAGATTCTTCAGGCAAAAAAGGGACAAAATCCCGAATTCCTTCTTCAGAAGCAAAAATAAAAAGTGAGCCGAAATCAACAGTTGATACAGAATTGATTCCGCTTAACCCAAGGATGTTTCAGACCAAATTAAGAAGAAACACGAACAGGCAGGATTTCAATAATTTACACTTTGCTTTTAGGTGTCGAAATTGAGGAACTTAGAATTACATTAGATGGATTAAAAAGCAGTATAGGAGTTCATATCCATAGTTGCCTTTACTGTATCTCATTTCAGAAATGTACTATTCACTTGTGTGTGTTTAGTACACTATTCGCGATTACAGATGGTAGACACTGATGATGGACTTTTTGACTGTGATATTTGGTGTAACCTACATACCATGTTTTGTCCCACTCAAATAGTGGCACGGTTCAGAATATACAAATGTACTTGATGTTCTTCTGCAATTATCTGATATTTGAAAACATACATTATTTTAATTATGGAGCTACAACTTCTTGCTATATTTTTCCCTGTCGGTTTTCCTCAAACCCCTTCTAGGTTTCGCAATTTCGGTCCTACCCATCACTAACGAGTCTTAGAAAGATTGACATGAGTAAAGCACTTGTGTGTATTTTGTACAATCTTATTACAGTCTACTCTATCTGTTCATTGATTTATTTTCTTTACAGAAAGATGTTGTCTGATCTTCAGTGTTGACACAACGCAGAACAGAGAGGACATTATGAAGGCCTACGATGACTTCCATGGTAATATATCACAATGGTTTTTCGTGGAAAAAGTATTTACAACAAGCCCCTGCCATTCTAACGGTCTGTCCTACATTATATCTCACTGTTTCCTGTTCTGGTTTGCTAATTAAAATCCTATCTGTGTATTTGTACATTAAAACGGCTATGTATCCAACTATCCAACCTTTGCCTGAATCGTTTCTGAATCTGGACGGAATATAATCAAGTACAATGCGGAAAATAAAAACTAAATGGGTATAGAATCTAGTAAGTAATATCGACGGTATGGTCCTAGTAAGTAATATCGACGGTATGGTCCAATATTGGTACTGGATCTTCTATATATAGAATCTATAAGTAATATCGACGGTATGGTCCAATATTGGTACTGGATCTTCTATATATAGAATCTATAAGTAATATCGACGGTATGGTCCAATATTGGTACTGGATCTTCTATATATAGAATCTATAAGTAATATCGACGGTATGGTCCAATATTGGTACTGGATCTTCTATATATAGAATATAGTAAGTAATATCGACGGTATGGTCTTCTATATATAGAATCTAGTAAGTAATATCGACGGTATGGTCCAATATTGGTACTGGATCTTCTATATATAGAATCTAGTAAGTAATATCGAAGTTATGGTCTAATATTCGTACTGGATCATAACAAACAACTGTTCTTTGGATGCGTGTTACTGGAATAGATATATGATCAATGAAGTAATAACGAAAGTACGGACAAGCGAATTGTTAAAAGTTCGAGGCAACCTTCCCCTTTATGAAGACACAAATATAACATAACATTACATAAATTACATCACATACATAGAACATAAGACAAATACAAAGTTAAAGAAGACATTATCTTTGAAACAGAGATCCAAATCTTCGTTGCCTTTTAAGATGATACAAATGAAGGTCTAGACAACTGAAATAGTAATTACGGCTGTATACGTTTGTCAGTTGTCGGTATAATGTATTCAGGTGGTGTCCCGCAACAAACTTCAATTCCATTGTTCTGCAAGGAGGTAAATACACACTCAACCCCTGCCCACACATCTGTCGAAAGGAAGTTAATCAATATAGAATGAAACCATGAAATAAAAAGTGATTTAAAGAACTGCGTAACACATCTTGAAGTTTTTTCTTACATACTTAATCAAATCTTTGAAAATCAGTTTCGGTTTCGTTGTACAATGAATAACTACAAATGAAACCTGCTTTGTTGAACAGGTAGACAGTTCTTAATGAACTTTATTTGGCGACTGATTCGGGAAGAGAGATGTACTATCGACCCAGACCATTTCGACCTGGAGGTTCAACTAATCAGAGATGATTCGCCAGATAAGATGAGCTCTGTCCAAGCACTAGTAAGAGCGAAGAAGACAAACTCTTTTATAATACGTACGTATATTCGGTCATGTAATTGAAAGTCTGAATTAAAATTGATCAGTTTTGTAGGACAATGAGGTTTTTTTTTTCTTTTTCATTGCAGTGCAGCATTTCATTCGGTCCCGTATTTCATAACTGAAAACGCTATGGTGACACAAATAGAAAGAGAAAAAGACATCACACTGGCGGGTTCTATCTTAATTTGTCTGTTTCAGTTTGCGTTCATTACGATCTTTCCAGATTCCTGGTATCAAAATAATGACACGGAAAATGTTATGATGAGTCAAAGTTATTGTGGGAGGGAGACGGGTGGTCTGTGCTACACATTCATACATTCATAACACTTGCATTTAGCTCTATGATTTGAATCAAAAGGCTGGTCATGGAAACATGATTTTACTGTAGGGTTTTAAAGTTTTAAAGTAGTTGGTAACTGGTTGAAAAATCTGAGGAATAAAGAAAAATGTGATGAAACAAAAAAACAAATCATCACCATTTCCATTACTGAAGACAAAATTTCTCTTGTAATGGTTTAAAAGGTCTCCTACCAAGGTTATAATGCTTAAAACAAAATCTCTCTTGTAATGGCTAAAAAGGTCTCCTAACAAGTACTAATGCTTAAAACAAAGGACTTTAACCCAATGAAAAAATGCCGTTCATTAAAAATGCAATTAAAAGTAAAAAAAGGCTACAACTGTTAAATTAGCTTGGCGGAAACCTAATATGGGGAAACCTAATTGGCGGAGACTGATATACAAAATTGAAATTCTGAACTAAAACAAGGGACAGTAACTCTTCCAAATAGAGAAAAATGTAGCTGCCGTTCTGAAAAAAAAAGACATTTGACAGAAAGCTTCCAAGGATTCAGTCAAAGTTAGCAAAAAAAATGCCTGCTATCAATATTTAAGGACTCCTTGATAATGTCATAAAAAAGAAAAAATTCGAACGTCTAAATCTCAATAACCAAAAGCTTAGAATATGAGAGATTCGCAGAATGAAGTCTAAACGCCCATATGTATAGTTAAGGTCAATGAGGTCAATTAATCAAATTTTTTTTTGTTTTTTTCATATGCAAATTACAGCTACTTTGGGTGTCACCGTCAACATGGTGGAGGGTGAACCGCTATATCTACACGACGGCCCAGGCCTCAGCCACAAATACACTTCCCAGCAAGTACAAACACTGATAGAGCGGGCAGGACTACAACTCGTGGACAAGTGGGTTGATAATGATGGGCACGTGATGTTTTGTAAATGTAAAGTGTTGTGAAATGTACTGTGAATATATCATAAAATACTACTCTTACAGATGTGACTAATATATCAGAATGATTATCAGAAGGCCTTTTCTGTTTTATATACAGACCGATGAGGTATTTATAAAATCTGGGTTAAGGACATATCAGAAATCTGATTTATATAATCTGAGTCGAGGACATTAAACAAACCCTGATTTATATAATCTGGGTCGGGGACATTGAACAAACCTGATTTATAAAATCTGGGTCGGGGACATTGAACAAACCTGATTTATAAAATCTGGGTCGGGGACATTGAACAAACCTGATTTATAAAATCTGGGTAGGGGACATTGAACAAACCTGATTCATATAATATGGGTCGAGGACATTTCAGAAATCTGATTTATATAATCTGGGTCGAGGTCATTAAACAACCCCTGATTTATATAATCTGGGTCGAGGTCATTAAACAACCCCTGATTTATATAATCTGGGTCGAGGACATTAAACAACCCCTGATTTATATAATCTGGGTCGAGGACATTAAAAAAAACCCTGATTTATATAATCTGGGTTGAGGACATTGAACAAACCTGACACTCTTTCAGTTCAGCATGTTTTACGTCAACACTGAGCCCAATACGGATGTTTGATGACTTCAACACAGTTGTGTCACTTTGCAAAAGGTCATTCATTTGAAAACATACTTGTTACTCCATTATTAAAGCTTATCACAGGCCCAATACTATAGTCCTGGATGTTTTGGTTACTGAGATGTTCTTAGCATATTGAATACATCTGACTTCGGTGAACACAGGTTTTAACAATTGCAGGTTAGTGGAATTTATGGGGCAGTTTTACTGTCGTAATAGTGATCTCATTGAGAAACAATACTTCTTTGTAATATATTAAGATGAACGTGACATACTTCCTTGGATTGACCAATACTTATGTGGCGGGTGTTATCGATGAAGCAGTTGACGCTTAATCTTCCGGAACACCTGGTCTTATTTTCCTTGTACTTTAGCATGAGTCTCTATGTAAATCTTTCTTTTGTTCATATTTCTCCCTTTTTTCTTGAATTTGAGTTTGGATTATATTTATTTATTTTGTACTGTTGTTACAGCTGTTAATATCGTGTTCCTTGCTTAGAAGTCAGAACTGTACATGCTTTGGTCACTATTAACATGGTTTACAGTGGTGTGAATGACATTAACTCTAAGACTGATGTACCGCAGATTCGCAAGTCCGTCTTATATAAGTGATTTTTTTCTCGTTCCGTTCTGTCTCAGTATTAACGATAAAAGTTTTTGTAGGTAAAGAAAGGATTGTGCTTGTATGGCCGTTCAAAAGACAAGTTAGCTGCACATTTCAATCAAACTTAAGATTAGATCAAAACATGGCCTGTAGGTTATGGAAAACATTAGGATTAAACGATCACCGGCAGTGTCTATCAACTCGATATCATGAATGTACAAACGATTCTTATCTAAGATGTGACCCGTTGAGGGTAAGTTGAGACGTTGACATGGCAACTCCATGTTACAGATTCTAGTCAACATCTACGGCATGTCGCATCGTACCCTGTAGTACTAACTACCCAGACAACAGATTTATACTGACACAAGGTACCTAGTAGAAATCACGCCAACAACATCAATATATACTGTTACTGATGTGATATCCTTACGTAAAATTACACAAATTATACTGGAATGTAAACGTGATGATTGATCAGAGCTATAAGTAAAAGTCCCCCATGTAACCATGACAAGGTATATACGTAGTGACATACATGTATAACAGTGTTCGGACAAACTTTCTGCCATACCTCTGGTGTAAAGTTATGTAGATTGGCCTTACTGTATCTAACTTTAAGTTACTTAAATGTGCTATTCACTTGTGTGAATAATTTAATCGTTAAGTAGATGGTATTGATGTGCACCAGAAATAAGAACACGAAACTTTGAGTCTTTGAAATATGCAGGAAAAGTGATACACGAAGTGGACACTGCTGAAGTTATGTAAAAGTGTATTATGTTTTGTGAATATACTGATAACTATCTTTACTGTCCCTATATAACGTATGTATCAAGTTATGTATACAGCTAACACCAGCTGTCCCTATTTAACGTGTGTATCAAGTTATGTATACAGCTAATACCAGCTGTCCCTATATAACGTATGTATCAAGTTATGTATACAGCTAACACCAGCTGTCCCTATATAACGTATGTATCAAGTTATGTATACAGCTAACACCAGCTGTCCCTATATAACGTATGTATCAAGTTATGTATACAGCTAACACCAGCTGTCCCTATATAACGTATGTATCAAGTTACGTATACAGCTAACACCAGCTGTCCCTATATAACGTGTGTATCAAGTTATGTATACAGCTAACACCAGCTGTCCCTATAAAACATATGTATCAAGTTATGTATACAGCTAACACCAGCTGTCCCTATATAACGTGTGTATCAAGTTATGTATACAGCTAACACCAGCTGTCCCTATATATAACGTGTGTATCAAGTTATGTATACAGCTAACACCAGCTGTCCCTATATAACGTGTGTATCAAGTTATGTATACAGCTAACACCAGCTGTCCCTATATAACGTAGTTATCAAGTTATGTATACAGCTAACACCAGCTGTCCCTATATAACGTGTGTATCAAGTTATGTATACAGCTAACACCAGCTGTCCCTATATAACGTATGTATCAAGTTATGTATACAGCTAACACCAGCTGTCCCTATATAACGTGTGTATCAAGTTATGTATACAGCTAACACCAGCTGTCCCTATATAACGTGTGTATCAAGTTATGTATACAGCTAACACCAGCTGTCCCTATATAACATATGTATCAAGTTATACAGCTAACACCAGCTGTCCCTATATAACGTATGTATCAAGTTATGTAACACCAGCTGTCCCTATATAACATATGTATCAAGTTATGTAACACCAGCTGTCCCTATATAACGTAGTTATCAAGTTATGTATACAGCTAACACCAGCTGTCCCTATATAACATATGTATCAAGTTATGTAACACCAGCTGTCCCTATATAACGTATGTATCAAGTTATGTATACAGCTAACACCAGCTGTCCCTATATAACGTATGTATCAAGTTATGTATACAGCTAACACCAGCTGTCCCTATATAACATATGTATCAAGTTATGTATACAGCTAATACCAACTGTCCCTATATAACATATGTATCAAGTTATGTATACAGCTAACACCAGCTGTCCCTATATAACGTGTGTATCAAGTTATGTATACAGCTAACACCAGCTGTCCCTATATATAACGTGTGTATCAAGTTATGTATACAGCTAACACCAGCTGTCCCTATATAACATATGTATCAAGTTATGTATACAGCTAACACCAGCTGTCCCTATATAACGTGTGTATCAAGTTATGTATACAGCTAACACCAGCTGTCCCTATATAACGTGTGTATCAAGTTATGTATACAGCTAACACCAGCTGTCCCTATATAACGTGTGTATCAAGTTATGTATACAGCTAACACCAGCTGTCCCTATATAACGTATGTATCAAGTTATGTATACAGCTAACACCAGCTGTCCCTATATAACGTATGTATCAAGTTATGTAACACCAGCTGTCCCTATATAACGTAGTTATCAAGTTATGTATACAGCTAACACCAGCTGTCCCTATATAACGTATGTATCAAGTTATGTATACAGCTAACACCAGCTGTCCCTATATAACATATGTATCAAGTTATGTAACACCAGCTGTCCCTATATAACATATGTATCAAGTTATGTATACAGCTAATACCAACTGTCCCTATATAACATATGTATCAAGTTATGTATACAGCTAGTATACAGCTAACACCCTATATAACGTGTGTATCAAGTTATGTATACAGCTAACACCAGCTGTCCCTATATATATATAACGTGTGTATCAAGTTATGTATACAGCTAACACCAGCTGTCCCTATATAACGTGTGTATCAAGTTATGTATACAGCTAACACCAGCTGTCCCTATATATAACGTGTGTATCAAGTTATGTATACAGCTAACACCAGCTGTCCCTATATAACGTGTGTATCAAGTTATGTATACAGCTAACACCAGCTGTCCCTATATAACGTAGTTATCAAGTTATGTATACAGCTAACACCAGCTGTCCCTATATAACGTATGTATCAAGTTATGTAACACCAGCTGTCCCTATATAACGTATGTATCAAGTTATGTAACACCAGCTGTCCCTATATAACGTATGTATCAAGTTATGTAACACCAGCTGTCCCTATATAACGTATGTATCAAGTTATGTATACAGCTAACACCAGCTGTCCCTATATAACGTATGTATCAAGTTATGTAACACCAGCTGTCCCTATATAACGTATGTATCAAGTTATGTAACACCAGCTGTCCCTATATAACGTATGTATCAAGTTATGTATACAGCCAACACCAGCTGTCCCTATATAACATATGTATCAAGTTATGTAACACCAGCTGTCCCTATATAACGTGTGTATCAAGTTATGTATACAGCTAACACCAGCTGTCCCTATATAACGTAGTTATCAAGTTATGTATACAGCTAACACCAGCTGTCCCTATATAACGTAGTTATCAAGTTATGTATACAGCTATCACCAGCTTTCCCTATATAACGTAGTTATCAAGTTATGTAACACCAGCTGTCCTTATATAACGTAGTTATCAAGTTATGTATACAGCTAACACCAGCTGTCCCTATATAACGTAGTTATCAAGTTATGTATACAGCTAACACCAGCTGTCCCTATATAACGTAGTTATCAAGTTATGTAACACCAGCTGTCCCTATATAACGTAGTTATCAAGTTATGTATACAGCTAACACCAGCTGTCCCTATATAACGTGTGTATCAAGTTATGTATACAGCTAACACCAGCTGTCCCTATATAACGTATGTATCAAGTTATGTATACAGCTAACACAGCTACACGTAGATCAAT